TCCGTACCAGACTGAGACACTGCTGGTCAGGATGCTCTCGATCACACAGCGGTAGAAGTTCATCAGTACAGCTGAAGACAGGTGGTGTCTCTTCAGTGTCCTCAGGAAAAAGAGGCGTTGATGAGCCTTCTTAACCAGACTGGAGGTGTTAGTGGATATATTATGCAAATTGTAGGCTTAGATCTTAGTGATGAGAGAGTTACTCAGTTAAAAAAAAAACGAAACTAAAATCAGAATCTGCTTTTAAAAATCAGTTATTATCCCATGTAATAATACTCAGCCTGTTTCTTTTTAATTAAGGGGTTTTCTACATGATCCCTACTTGTCATGTCGTGATCTTTATGGGATGATACTACATTTCTTGTACAGTGCTATTATTATTATTAAACTATGTTTTTCTGTTTACCGAAAACTTTGTTATGCAGCAGAATGATGAATGTGAGCAGGGGAGTCGTTGGATCTCCATGATAACATATCACATTGGGCCCCTCACACTGCCTCAGTCAGTGCACAGTTGTTTGCCTAGAATCTTTGGTAATTAAAAGCAAAAAAGAAGATGTAGGACTCTTTTCTTTTTTATGCCGTGGTATCAGAAACAGGGATTGGTATTTTATTTTATTGTTTCAGAGTGAAGTGTCCTGTTTATTTATTTGGCCTATTTTACCTTTACTTTGATAAATATGAAGTAGGGAGAAACAAATCCCCCTCACTACTACGTCCATGCATATGAGTAAATCATATTAATTAAATAATAATAATAATAAATAATTTTTAATAACATAACATTTGATTTTTGATTTTTGAACAACTGCGAATAATCAATAATTTAATGTTGAAGATACACTAAGGCTAATTGTAACTTATTACATTATTTGGGAAGGTTAATTTTAATTAAATGATTTATACATACTAAATACGTTTGGTTTTTTTGTATCTGTAAAGTACCACAATGTTTCAATTAGTGCTTGAGTTTTATGTACTTAATTTTTTAAATAGGAGAACAATATGATACTATATGCAATATGTTGGCTAATACTCTGAGCTCTATTCAAAAATTTGAAATTAGACCTATATGGATTTTTTTTTTAAATACATTTTGCTGCAATATGAAAATCCAAATTAACTAAGAAGGCTGTTGTCTTGGAAGAAAAAGTATATTTACACTCTGTAAACCACACTCTGTTATGACCGATCATATCTGAAAACAAACATTTTTACATCAGTGATATGCCCATATCTGTAATCTGAAATATCTACCAGGCTCTAGTTACACCACCCAGAAGGGCATTTGTACTATTGAGCAAGTTTCCTAATTCAATTTGGGATTTGAATGTTTTGCAGATTTCCATCGTCAACATGTGTCGGAATCGGCCAAGTAAGTTGGTGTTAATTTGAGTCACATATACTAACTGTTGAGCCATAAAAGGATCCTGATGTTTTAAGTCTCTCTGCTTAAATAACTCTACAGATGCTTGCAACAATCGTACTTCTGAGGACTGGCAAACTCTTTGGTGTGATCTCATTTCCAGACATGGATATGAGTATACCAGGGAAGGTAAGACTGTGAAGTACTTTGAAGACTTTTTATTAGATACATGATAATATGTAGAACCCAATGTGTAAGTGCTTTGTTTGTCTTTCCAGATGTTTCCGCTGCCTTTGCTGTATGTTGGGAATCAAATATCAGGGCTCTTTGGAACACAACGACTCAAGTTAGTACTTGTTTTCTATTGCTTTCTCATAATATAAAATATTGTTTTCTTTAATACTACACAATGAAATTTACAGTGTTTCCTCTTTTCTAGCTTACCCATGTTTACAGTTTTAAGGAGGTTCAGTATTTTACTTACCATGGTGTTTGAGGGACTCTTGCTGAAGTAAGTGGACATTCCTCAACACAAGAAAGCTATTGCATCTGTAAGTAAATTATTTTAATGATCCATTTTATTGATTTTCTCACAGAAAGACCTTCTCCACATCAGTAAAAAGCACAGTCTTTACTATGATCATTGGTGCCTTCATTGCTGCCAGGTGAGAAGCGATATAGAGTATTAACAACATAAATGGACGTCATCAAACTCAAAGGCACTTTTTTTCAAGCATGCATCTTGTTCTTTTTCTGTGTTTTGTAGCGGCGATTTAGCCTTTGACCTTGAAGGATATGTGTTCATAATGCTGAACAATGTTCTGACAGCAGCCAGCGGGGCTTATGTGAAGCAGAAACTTGACTCTAAGGTGAGCAATGAGCAGTAACTCCTACCTTACTTTTTGTAAGATGCATTGTTTTTTTCACTTACTGTCAAGCATGTAATTGACTGATGAAAAGTCCACTTAATGGTTTTAGGACTATCACTCAGGTAGAAATCAGACAGTAGTCTCGACTGGTTCACAGTCCAATCCCCATAATACTGGTGTTCCCCAAGGCTCCATTCTCAGCCCTCTTTGATTCAGCCTATATAAACAACAAAATGATAAACACAGTATTGTCTCTGTTACCCTAAACTGTAATGTACATTTTTATATGGTTTACTCTATTTTACATTGTTACAATTTCATGTAGAAAAGGCTTTTGTCATCAATATCATTAAGTGCATAGGTGTTCATGAAAGAGCTCTTCAGCTTTTTGTTAAAGGTAAAAAGGGACTCAAGTATTAATGCAGATTGAATGGTATTTGGTAACAGAGGAGAAGACTCAAGCTAGAAACCTTGGGCCCTGTTTTGAAGGTTGGACCAGACACCTTTTGTTGGCAAAGTGCAGTGGGTGGTAGCAGTAGGAACAGCAGTTTTTTTTAGCCACATGGTTTTGAAGTTGATTCAAGCAGGAACTGGGAGCCAGTGGAGGGAGATCTTCTGCAGAGATTTGAGTGTGCATGCAGGGAGACCTGCCAGTAAGGAGCTGCAGTAGTCAATGTATTATATAAAGTAACGCATGATATACCACTGGCTTTTTTCCCAATCAGGCAATTGCAAAATATCAGTTTACATTCAATACATTACAGTTCTTGCTCTTTATATTTATGCTTCTTTTAAATGCTTGAGAAATGTTTGCTATCCTCAAGATCACCATGCAGTATCAAGGCTATTACCCATATCCAATTAGGATTAGGACCCATTAGGATGTTATAGAGGGGAAAAAATGATTCTATTATGCTATTAGAGATACCATGGTATAACCTACAATCCTGGCTGCACCGTTGGCAATACATTTATTAGCTACCTTTACAAGTTTTATGAGAAGCTTTGAATAACAGGAGAGTACTGCATTGCATGTTGTTAATTTATCAGGCTCTTTAGTAAGTATACTTTGCTTTAAATGAATGTCACATCACATGAGTTTCAAATTGTGAAAATGTGTTGTACATTTATGTTAATATTTGTGCGTCTGTTAGTTTTCTAAAACTCTGTATGAACATTTTTGTAAACAGGTATCTCCTAAAAAAAGAGATTCTGATTTAAATGAGCTGATAAAGAATTTGAGTAAATAAAATAAACGACTTTGTTCCCGCAGGAGCTCGGAAAATACGGACTCCTCTACTACAATGCTCTGATCATGATTTTCCCCACTGCGGCGTATGCTTACTACTCAGGGGACTTTCAAACCGTAAGTGAAGCCTCTCTTCACACATTCATGGTGTAGTGTACAACAACATAGTGGTGATACTCTCCTGTGTGTGTTTTATTGTAGGCACTGGAGTACAATGGATGGTCTGATGCGATGTTTGTTGTGCAGTTTGTGCTCTCCTGTGTCATGGGGTGAGTTCTACATCAATCACAAATCTATTGATCACCTTAAATGTTGCTGCTATTTCCTAACTCTTTATCTGTGTTGTTTAGCTTCATCTTAATGTACTCCATCATGCTGTGCACGCAGTACAACTCAGCTCTCACTACCTCTATCATCGGCTGCATTAAGGTGAGTAACATCCCTATTATCATGCTGCTCCTTCACTCTATGGGCTACATGAGATAACTTCATGACACCGTGTGTGATTCCTACAGAACATCCTGGTGACCTACATTGGCATGGTGTTTGGTGGAGACTACATATTCACCTGGACTAACTTCATAGGTCTAAATATCAGGTAAAACAAGTACCGTTGAGGTTATACTGTTGAGCAGCCTTTCTGTCCTGGAACAAATGTTGTCACCTTTGTCTCCCACAGCATCGCTGGTAGCCTGGTGTACTCCTACATCACCTTCACACACGGGCAAACGAGCAAGAACAGTTCAAGTAATGTGCATCAGTACTTTCCAAACTACTTTTACATGAAGTTGTCTTAAGGTTTAAATCTGCATAAGTATAACATGCATTAGATTTCTTAATGTTTTTCTTCACATTTTACAGAAAAGGCATAAACAATGGAGACAGGACCGGACACAGAATACCTACAAACCTCCAGGATGCTTTTGATGTTGCCTGAGTGTTGTACGTGGTGACATTATTGATTTTGTTCTAAATGTCTGCACACTTGTTTGCTACAATCATGTAAAGTAATTTTTTAAGATGTTATTAAGTTTTTTACATTTTTGATTAAGATAAAGGGCCTTATATTTTTTAAATTTCATGCAAACTAATAAACACATAAAGGATGTATTCAGACTTTTTCCAGTGCTAATTCAATGCAATCACAAATGTTTCTAATTTAAGATATATTTCAATACAGCCCTAAAATATCATATTGAGTTACTTTTCTACAAACTCATTTTTAATGCCTGTTTCCTGATGTGTGGTATGTCAGAAAAAGAAAAGTGAAATGGGTCAAACGGTTACAGTTATATGTACAAGCAACATTGTTAAACTATTGAGGCCTTGAATCAGTTTCTGGTGATTTCAGTAAGATGTTTGTCTTATTTCATACAATGCAGATGTGTAAGTAAAGATAATAGCTTCCGATAGTTAATTAACATATTGTGTTTATTGTAGGGGAACAGAAAAATGAAAACTTGAACTCTGATTGGAACAGTTTGTGAAGTGTCTGCACAAGTCACAGTACAAAGAGTCAGACTTATTAATACATTTATTAAATATAACCAATGCAATTCCATTCATGGCCAGTCTTGGAATACACTTCATTTTTATTCATGTTGTCAAATAAACAAGACATCATTGTCAACAAAGGGAAAGAAAAGACTACATGGATCAACATTATCTGAGACAAACTTATCTTAATCTGTGAATGAAAGTGAAACACAAACAGCGATAAGCTGAAAAGCTACTGTACCAAAAAACATATGAAGGTCTTGCATCCCTCAGCCTGCTCTCTTTAGCTGCTACTGAGGAAAGAGACGGTAAATATTGGTGGAAACTAAGCACTTCCGAGGATTTTAACCAAAGGCAGACTGCACGCTCGACCACAGACAAAAGACGAGGCTCGCTGCAAAAAAATATCTCAAATCGAGCAAGGTCACAGGAATGGGAAGTGCTGCAGGGCAGAGAGGGAAAAGAGGAATGGCTACTTTTTTTTACTACATCCATCTCAAAGCAGAAGATTTCTCAACAAAAAGCGCAGGCTACATGGAAGACCAGAAAATACAGAGATGAACAGACAGTTATAAAAAATGTACCAACTGCTCAAGGTAAGAAATCTATACAAACTTTACATTAAAAATCATTGACATTCTGTCTAGTAAAAACAAAGCGTCGAGCAAAGCACTGACCATGGAAATCCAAAAATACAGCGACCTTCTACATGATGAGTTACAATACAGGACATCACTGATGTCAGCTGCTTTCCACAAACAAACCTGCAGGTGGTTTATTTATCCGAATCAAACAAACAGCCGAGATGCACAGAGGCCGGAACAGGTTCAGAAGTGAAGGAGTGAAAAAGTTTTGTTCTGCTGGGTTTCGACACCACTCCTTATTGATAACAATAAGAATCATACAATCAAAGTGCACTAAAGAGGGCCAGTGACTTGTTTGCCTACGGTGCCTCTTTTGGACAAACTTAAGCACGTTATCTTTTTAAACATGTCGCCTGTTTCATCAAATGTTCAAAAAGCTTGAACTGCAGTTAACCATCATACTTTCTTTTGCTAAAAAATATAAATATCTCTTGTGTAAAAAAATATCACAGGTGATTTCTTTTCTTTGATACAGATAGAAAAAAAAAATCTTGGCAAACTTTTGTCAGTCAAGTCTCAGAGAGGAAATAAAGACAACGATGAAGGAGATGTTGCATTCTGTAGGATGTGGTTTAGGATGAGCTCTGCAGGCTGTCAGAACGTTGGATGTGGCGGAGGGGACGCAGGGGCTGCTGCCCCTCCTGGAGGACTAGCTGCAGTTTGGTTGGCTGTGTTTTTCAAGGTCTGACTTTCAGGGACCTTATGAAAGAGTCTTTTCTCTCAGGAGAAACTGTGCTCACGAGCCAACAGGGGCTCATCTTTATCATCCTCTTACCTCTGCTGGGACAAATTATGGACGATTTTTTTTTCACCCAAGATAGTGTTTGTTAGTCTACATCAGCGAGCTCTGGATCCTTCAGTCCTCCTGTGTTGAAGATGTTTCCACCTTACTCTGACCCAGCTGCTCTGCCTCCGTTCTACACCTCTTGGCCGGCCTCTCTTGTGCGGTTGTGTCTCTATGGTCCAGCGAGGGCTCCAGAGAGCCGTTTAGGTCATGGCTTGGCGCACTGTGTTGGCTGCAGCCGTTGGAGTTGTTGTCTGAAATGGGAGGGGGAGCTTCCACTGTGAGATGGGAGGGGCCGTTAGTCTGAACGGGCTCAGGTTTGACGGGGTTTGCTGGGAGTAACTGAGGACCGTCTACTTGGTGGCTGGAGTTGTGGCTGGAAATGCCTGTCAAATAAAAAAAAGTGAGCGTTTGAGACACCTAGACTTTAGATCTAAGCAGATGAAAAATAACAATTTTATTAAACAGGCAGCTGCCTCTGGGTTTTTCCTAACCAGGTTGTTTTAATCTCTCTTAATGTCTCTTACATTCATGTCTAATCATAAAGTCGGCTAATTTCTATATCAGAAATGGCCCTGGTTAAAATATGGGATATAGGACACTGTCTATGAAAAGATATATTGTTGTTGTGTTACACTGAGAGAACATTGAAATTAATTTTGAATGTTCTAGCCTGGAGGCAGAAACCAAAAACCAATCTTAATTTGTTTGATAAAGAAAAACGAATTAGAGCAAGTTGAAAAAGCTCAACTTAATTAAAAATAAGTTAATACTACTTGAACTTGAACTCCTCCACTTGGGGCAAGGACTCACTCCCCACCCGGAGAGAGCAATCCACCATTTTCTGGCAGAGAACCATGGCCTCAGACTTGGAGGTGCTAACCCTCATCCCCGCCGCTTCGCACTCGGCTGCAAACCGCCCCAATGCCTGCTGGATGTCCCAGCTTGAGGAAGCCAACAAAACCACGTCATCTGCAAAAAGCAGAGACTCCTCCTCCCCCCGGCTGCTCCTTGAGATCCTGTCCATGAAGATCACAAACAGGACCGGTGACAAGGGGCAACCCTGGAGGAGGCCAATACGCACTGGGAACATGTCTGACTTTGTGCCGAGGATGTGGACACAGCTCTCACTCATACAGGGACCGGATGGCTTGTACCAACGGCCCCAGGGCCCCATATTCCCGCAGTACCCCCCCCACATGATCCCCCAAGGGACACAGTCAAAAGCCTTCTCCAATTCCACAAAACACATGTAGACTGGATGACCAAATTCCCATGCTCCCCCAAGAAGCCCTGCGAGGGTCAAGAGCCGGTCCACTGTCCCACGGCAAGACGGAATCCACATTGTTCCTCCTGTATCCGAGGTTCAACAATCGGCTGGAGTGGAGGAGTTCAAGTATCTCGGGGTCTTGTTCACGAGTGAGGATAGGATGGAGCGTGAGATCGACAGACAGATTGGCTCGGCGTCAGCAGTAATGCAGGTGTTGTGCTGAAGCTAGAGGTTTTCTAGGCACGGCCAACTAGGAGGAGACCCCGGGGCAGACCCAGAATGCGCTGGAGGGATTATATATCCCGTCTAGCCTGGGAACGCCTCGGAATCCCCCAGGAGGAGCTGGAAAACGTTGCTGGGGAGAGGAAAGTCTGGGTTGACTTACTGCGCCCGCTACCACCGCAACCTGACCTCATATAAGCGGAAGAAAATGGATGGATGGATGGATGGATGGATGGTTAATACTATGAGTGGAATCTAAATAACTCATATAAGAACTCAGCATTGATAATTAAGGATGTTATTTACCTCGCAATAGATTTTATGACTGATACAAATATCAACAATTACAATTTATTTTACAGGGTGCAAGTAGCCTAGTGGTTGGTGCGTTTCTTCTATTAAGGGAGCACTGGTCCTCCAGGCAAGCAGCACAGGTCCTATTCCTGCATGTCTTTCCCCACTTGCTCTATTACTGAATTCTGACTTTATTGACTGTCCTATCTCCAAATAAAGTCATAAAAAGCCCCAAAACACAAAATATATTGCATTATTATTTTTAACCAGCAGGGGGAGCTGTCTACTTTTGGCTTATTTTTATAAAAATAGGAATATTGTAAAAAATCAAGATAGAAACCCTATTGTGAGTGTGTGGTTACATCTCTATGGCAAATCTCACCGTTCTGACTGCTGCTGTCTTCTTTCTCTGAGTGGCTGGTGCTGCTGCTGGAGGTGGTGGGTGGCGGGGACGCCGCCCTGCTGGATGTTGCGCTCTCTGTCTCGTCCAGTAATCTGTCCATGTAGTCTCTGAAGACACACAGCAGCACACAGGCCATTACACACAACACTAGATACCATTTTTAAAAAAAATCACCCAACTGTATGTGGCCGAGCTGGGACAGCAGGTGGGTCCGTGTTACAGCTGAGTAATGTGGTCATAATGCTTTGACTGTCTTTACACATGGTCCAGTTGGAGCACTACATGAATCTTATACTGCACCTCTACTTATGGTGGTGAGACAAAAAGAGAATATTAACTTTTAGGTATTATATTTGGTTAGAAATCCCTCTTTAGTGTTCTGTACTTGTCTTTGTCCTCGAGTTTCCTTTGTATAACAGAGAAGAAACGTATTTGCAAGCTTCATAAAATATTTCTCTCTGTGTTTATAAACCAGAATGTTTATTTTGGTTGTGTATATAATTGTATTGCTACAGGACATCACTGGAAAAAGAGACCTCAGCCTCAGTTTGTCCTCCCTGCTAGGATAAAGGAGAAGGAAAAACAATAGATATTCAAAATAAGCTCATAAAACAGTTGCTTTCAATAACAATTGCTCAGGAGTGGGGAGGCACAAGTTCAATAAAAAGGTGGCTTCTAAACCTGTAGAAATAATGTGACCTGTGAGCAAAGTTCAATGCACCTTTTCACTTCAGTTTTTTTTATTCTGTCAATCCATGTACATATAACTCTAAAATACACTGCACTGTCACTATGCTGTCACTTTGTTTTCTAAACAGTGAAACTTTTAATTGCTATAAGATTTGCGGGTTCAAGCGTAGTGTTATATACAGTGGATATAAAACGTCTACAGTTAAAATGATTGTGATTTTTAAAATATGAGACCAAAATAGACAAATTCAGAATTTTTCCACCTTCATTGACAGCAAAAGCTACGAGCTTGCAAAGCATCAAAGGGATCTCATTGCTGAAAGATATCAGTCACGAGAAGGGTACAACAGAATTTCCAAGGCCTTAGCTATACCATGGACTACAGTGAAGACAGTCATCAATAACTGGACACTTGTCCAAAATGGATGAAAAGACAAGAAGCCAACTGGCCAGGGAGGTCTACAGTAATAATAAAGGAGCTGCAGGACTTTCTGTCGTTGTTTTTATAGCAATGACAATAAAGATATATTCTACTCAAGTATTGGTTGTTTTCTACATGTGACAACGATCGTCTGTATTCTTCGTATGTATGGGCTATGGGCTAGGTTGGAAAGACTTCAGAAGAAAACATCAAAGCCCGGCTCAATTTAGAAAAGTAAACATAGATCAAGTCTCCCAAACGCATGTGGGAATATGTGTGTTATGATCTGATGAAACCAAAAACTGAAAACTTGAACTTCAGCCATCGTTCCAAAAGATATGTTTGATACCAAAACAACGCTGCACATCACCAACAGAACACCACACCCACAGTGAAGCATGGTGGTGGCAGCTTCATGCTTTGAGGCTGTTTTTCTTCAGCTGTAACAGGGGCTTTAGTTAAAGTGGATGTAATTATGAACAGTTCAAAATACTAGTCAATTTTGGCACAAAATCATCAGGCGTGTGCTGGATAGATGAAAAGGAATTTGGCTTCACCAGTAGAAGATTAACATTTAACAACAGCCAGAGCCCGGACCTGAATCCTATTAAAAATAAGTGGGGTGACCTGAAGAGGGCTGTGCACAGGAAATGCCCTCGTAATCTGACAGATTTGGAGCGCTTTTGCCAGGATGATGTGCTATGCTGATGGACTCCTGCCTGAAATGACTGAATACGTCAAAAGGTGTTTAAACAGATTATGAGTTTAATTAAGGGGCTGGATATTAATGTATCCACATCAATTTAGTTTTCATTGTTCATATTTTACAACCTTAAAGATGTTTTTTAAATTGACATGCACAGGTCAAAGGTCACAATAAAGGGGAAAAGGTTCTGAAATAATTTCTCTTGGTCACATTTCTTTTGTGTTTGGCATGTTAACAGGGTGTGTAGACTATTTATATCCACTGTATGAAGTGTGTCTGTAAACAGGACCCACCAATTATTCTCACACAAAAACAAATTGAAATCTTTTTACATTTACTTTGATGTTTGTTTGATTTTGAATTATAAAACCTTTTGTGTAATTTTGGAGAAAACCAAGCATTCTTTAACACATCAACCTGAAAACAAATCAGTTATTATTTATTCATTTTTCATTCATAATTGACTGTTTTTATAAAAAATCAAATAAAAACTTACGTGACACCGGGGTGAAGGTTGTATTTCCTTTTCCCAAGTCTGGTTTGCTGTGCAAAGAAATCATAACGCTCAGACTTCTTCCACATGTAATAAAAGGCCACACATTCTCCTACAGACCTAGTTCTCACCTGAAAGATTTAATTCAGCAGACATGAAATAACCATTATTACCATCGTCTCAAGACATCCATTCAGTTCAGTTTGAAATGAAAGACAAATCAAATTATTGCATAACAGGTCTTTAACATCTTCAGAGACTTTGAACAGGATCAAAACTGAGAAATTTGATTTGCCTCAAAATGCAACAAGGTTGAAATGTAGCTGATTCCAACCCTGAGCATCAGAATGCCACATAACAGTGAGCACAACAAAACAAATGTTAAGTAATGTTGTAATTGTCAACTGATAAATGTGGATTTGACGACATACCTTGTTGGCCTGTATTAAATGAAAGTCTTTCCCATAAGCTTTTAGTCCTTGTTCAAAATTTCTACATTCCTCTTCAGTCCAGACAGAGAGCTCCTCTGTCACAAAAAGAAACAAGCGTTAAAATAGAATCTGATAGATATCTACAAAATACAAGTAAGAAATGACTTACACACAGAACTCTGTACAAGCATGTGGAAACATATTCATATGTAGGACATTGTGTACTCACCTCTGGCTGCTTTGACATTAAACCTCAGTCTTCTTAAAGCTTCCTCTGTGTCAAAGTCACATTTCACCAGCTCATACAAAGCCTGAACAGAAACAAATCGTCAAACAAGTCCAGCCATGTAAACAGGTATCAACATGTAATACAGCACAAGCACATTCACTTGATGTAACACAGAACCCTGGAGATGTTTTATCTTTATGCCAACAAACCCATAAAAAGACCAACTACTATACATGTCTCTCTCTCTCTCTCTCTTTCAGCTCTCTCTCTTTTTGGAACATTTTGCTTATATTTGACAGGACACAGAGAGAGACAGACAGGAAATATTGGGAGGAGAGAGTTGGGGGACGACACGCAGCAAAGGACAGAGGATGGAGTGGACTATAGCATCTATAGATATCTGGAACCCCTCAGCCCCCTTGAATCCAGTCCTGTTTAACATTTTACTAGTTTACGATATTACATCATCTCTTGCACACACAGCAAACAACAAGTGCGTGCTCACCTTAACATAATAAAATGCTAAACAATGAGTCCACATTTGATTGTATGCAAATCAACCCCACATCTAACTTGGTTACTTTTAATTGTACTCCCCCATCTGCTTTATTTTGCTCTAAGCTCTAAGTCATGTCCTATGTCAGGCTTTGGCCAGACAGGCATTTGCAGAATTGAATTGCTGTTGGTGATAATCTTTTCATGGGTTTCTTAACAATAAAAAAAAAGACTTTGACCAGTCTTCCTACAGAACAGGCTACATTTTCTGTCACCTGTTCATTGTCTTTGATGTGGGATCCCTCTGGGATTGCGTCCACACCCTTCTCCTCGCCGGTCCTCCTCGATGCCTCTGTCAAGAACTCCACCACTTTGCCTTCAGGGAGGCACTCGGGGTTCCACAACAGCTGGTCATCATTTTCATAAACTACAGCACGCAGGAGAAGTGAAAGTGAAACCTTTAGTCATCTGTACAAACAACACACACTGTTTAATTTTAATATGCAGACGTTGCAAGTGAGACTTACCTTTTTCATTGTCTTTATATTTACACAGGCCAACAGGAGTTTCTGCCTGATACATTGAACCCACCATGATCTCCTGTTGGGAACACAAGTTTATGTAGACAGGCTGGTAAAAACATACCTTATACCACATAAGAGTATATCCTTTTATCATCATTTCTGCACATACTACATATCTGGATTAGGTGAATGTATTCTTCCTATAAAGTTATTTGCTTATTTTTAGAAAGGTAACTATTTGTGGGTCCTGTGTGGTCTGTATGCAGTAGGCTCTTTAACGGCACACTCAGGGCACACTCACACTGGCAAAGTTGTCCCGTACCGTGCCTAAGCACGATGGTTAGTCAGATACAGCCAGAAGTCAGATACAGCCAGAACACTCCACAATAAAGACTGTCAACATTGTTTATTTTTACCCGCATGCTTGTGCTCGTGCATGAACTGTACCGTGCCAAAGCACACCTCTCCAAAGCGTGCAGTACGACGTGGTCACACTGGTCAAACGAATTGGACTTTAGGGTGAAGCGTGCTTCGGCACAGTGTGATAGTGCCCTCACACTAGGCCCAGTTGTCCAGTACCGTGCTTAAGCACCATTGCCCCCCCTCCCCATCCCTGTGCTGGCCTGCACTCATACTGCTCATGGACTAACCAGGTCTGAGCATGGTAACGTCCTGTACATAATGTTGTAATACAACACATGCATAGCTTTGTGTGATCATGAAGCGTGCTTAGTTTACAAGACAGGCGGACCTGGGGAAAAAAAATGTGCGGTTGAGTACACGTCGGCACATTTAGAGAACACAGAGAACATAACAGCTACTTTACTGACTTTGTGGCTTATTTTGAGTAATTTTAAAGAAAAACACTCCTGGATTTTTCCATACAGAAGGCTGTCCATGTCGTGTACCTATGCTTGTGCTTGTGCATAAACTGTACCAAGCCAAAGCACACCTCTTCCAAGTGTGCCAGGGCCCAGGAAGTGTACCGTGCTTGAGCATGGATAGGAGTACTAACACTGGTCAAACGAACTGGACTTTGGGGGTGAAGCGTGCTAAGGCATGGTACAGATTGCCTAGTGTGAGTGCGCCCTAAATATAAGGAAAACCACCAAGTTGTCTTTAGAGCAAACTGCAAGTGAAGGTGTATAATGCTCATACAAAACTAAGATCTTACGTACCTTTTTCCAGTCTTCAGATGGAACATAGTCCTCATCTTCATCTGACTCCTCTTCTGCATCATTATTACCTGAGACACAGTGTGGAACCCATTTAATCTGCTAAATCTCACCAGAAAACATTTTGTTTTATGATACACATGAACACATAACTGTTTCAACAGGAAGAAAGCAAATGAGGTGTGATGGTTCATACTTTCAAAGTACTTGAGTTTCTGAGGACGGATAAGTTCTGCTGTCCCAAGGGACCTTACTGAGCGTGTGCGGCCCTCGGAAGTGGTCTGGGCCTCATCTACCTGGCCTGATGAGTTTTTCACACCCTCACCCTTTAAAAAAAAAAAAAAAAAAAAGTTATACAGAAAGGTCAACTAAAAAGATAATCATAATGGAAACTATCTCACATGAATGAGACTCAAAAACCGACCTCATTCATTTTCAACTCGCTGGTGCTTCTGCTGCTTTCATCATGGTCTAGGTCTTCTTCCTCATCCTCTTCCTCATCATCTTCTTCTTCCTCCTCCGGTTCTTCATCCTCCTCTTCATCCTCATCTGCTGGTGAATTGCCCCCATAACCATACAGATTCAGCAGCTCATGAATTGGCATATCCCCCTCCTGTTGAGAGAAAAGTGGCTCATTATAAACTGTACACTGACACATATCTTTGGTATAAATTCAAAGAATACAATTCTAACATCAGGATTGGAACATGTCCACACACACACACACACACACACACACACACACACACACACACACACACACACACACACACACACACACACACACACACACACACACACACACACACACACACACACACACACACACACAACACACACAACACACACAACACACACCACAAACAAAAAGAAACATCATATTTGACACTCACCCGTGCAAGGTCTTCAATCTCGTTAGCGTTGGTTTCATCTGATGCCTCCAACATTTCCTCTTCCTCCAGGGTGCGTTCATCATCAAAATCATGGACAAGCATGTCTACTGATGGGTCAAAATCATGGTCATCGGAACCTGCTGAACCTCCTGCAAAGGTAAACAATAATGAGAGCAATAATGGAATTTCAGACACGTGACAACGTAAAAACATTTTCTGCAAGAAACATATTTAAAAAATCAAATCAAGGTCACATCAGTATTTTTGTTTTAAGGTCATGTAAATTCTGGATGTATTTAGGGTGAGGGGTAAATAGTTAGATACTTTATTGATGCTGAGGGAAATTCAAAGGGTATGTAAGAAGTCTGATAAGAATTAAGTAATTTCATATTCTAAACATATATGATGACATTGTGATACGTCATCAAACTTCAATTAGGCCTGTTTAATTCCTACATCTTAAAACTCATTTCGTAAAGCTCTGGAAACGACTCTGCAAGTGTTACCAGGGGGGAAACACTGCAGTTAATTCTTTGATGATATACAAATTAAAATTATCTCAATATATATATAAAAAAAAAAATTTAAAACCCTAAAAGAACATTTCAAAATTGGCACACCTAGTCTACTCTGAAAATATATTTAGTGAAGTCAGATTACCGGATTTTGAATACAGACGTACTATTAAATCTTTAATTTTGGCTACACCAGATCGGTAATAAGCAATATTTGAACAGTCTCTAGTTCTATATTCTGTCAAAACCTCGCATGGATTTATAATTTATAGACAGCTCATGATGATCTTATTTACAGTTATTACTATTTTGTGTTTTTCTTATAAATCATAATTTAAAGCATGTTTTACCCTTTTAATTTTACTTTACAAACACAAGCGTTGTACATAAATCAACACAAGAGAACTGATCATAAATATATAATAAACATTATTGATGGAATTATTCCTCATATTATTAGAATAACATTTTTGATAAAATTATAAATAACACCAATTTCATGCCTTATCAGTTTTTCGTTTTGAACACTGTGAATACAGACTGTTTCTCTTTCTTTAATTTATAGACTTAAAGTTAAAGAATCCAGCTGAGTATGTTTTAGAGCAAACAGAAAGTAAAACTCATGTTCATGTACCTGGGCTCGAGTTCCCGAGGGAGGGCTGCAAACAGAAACAGAGGAGCATTAAAAAAAAAAAAAGTTAGTACACAACAAATCACGAGTCTAATTCCGCATTTTATAGACAATAAGAAAGTGTTCGGCCTTTGTATATTAAATGATGTATTGAAGTTATGAGCCGGAACACGGGGACGATAAATGTTTCATACAAGTTAAGAAAAAGCGCGCCTGAAGCCTGAAGCCTGAAGCCTGACTGCACATCAGAAAAGAAACAAAGAAGACTGTTTCCACATCCTGTGGGAACATGTAGTCCGTGTTATAAACACCGTGTGTACAGTGGTGTGCATTAAAACACAGCAAGCTACAACAGGTGTGTATTAACTATGTTAATTTTCTCACCTGGCTAACTTAAATAACAAAGTGTTAGCTAATTCTCCTTCTTTATTTAGCTAACGCGTCTAAGTTGGGCTTGGTATCAACAGCCGGTAAATAATGAACAAAACCAAAGACAGACTACATCTCTAAACAAGGGACTACCTGTACAAGTCAAATTAAAAACGTTCCTTCGGATAGTGAAGTTTTCTAAAACAATACCACGAAGTAACATCGCTAACGCCGCAGCTAGCACAGCTAACATTAGCTAAAGCCGAAGTTTACTAAACAAGCCTGAGTCAAGAAATGTTTTTTTTATCTAGCAGCGCAAACTGCGGATTCTTCATTTAGCGCACGGAGCGGCAACACACAAAATACGCACGCATTCGACTGAAATAACTATGTTACAGTACAAATATTTATTTTCCTTATATTTATTTCACTTTCTTACCTCCGCCATGTTTGCAATCCTGCAGGGTCGCGTCAGGGGTCAGCCGTAGTACCCGGATGCAGAGCCCCGCCCACCTGCAGTAAGAGGAACAGAGTGCTCAACAGCATTGTTGTTAGTGAGACAGATGCACCGTTTTCCTCTTTACGTTGTGTTATGTTGAAAAATCAAGTCAGATGTCAAGTGTTACGTATTCATTTATGTTTAAAATATGCACCCAACACTTGAAACAGCTGCAATACCCTGTTGAAGGCCTATTGATATGCTCCAAAACAAAAACAAATAATAACTACAAAGCAAAAGGTAGGCTATAATCGTTTTTTTATTGTACTTATTTTGGTAGACACTGATATTTAGGAAATGCAGGAATAAAGTAGCTTCCATGAGAAAAGGAGAAAGACATATGCTGTTTCTAGCTCTGATAGTTCAGGACTTAAGAAGCCTTTCAGGGGAGAGATGAAACGTCTTCAAGATCTTTAACCAAGTCCAGTTGCCTTTGGATCAAGCTACACATGCAGTCTCATGTCTACAGTTGAATTACACTTCATCAGGATTTACAATGTTGATGTAATTCCTAGAAAAACTACAGTAGAAATCATGAAAATGTCTCTTTCACAAGAGATTTCAATGTAATAACTGTATGGGTTCCAAGAAGTATTCGTACATCTAAATTATTTCAGAGCTTTCAGCAGAAGTATTTGAAAGTTGTTGTTTTTTGCACAGTAGCTTCACATGTTCAGGCTGTGATACTGATTACAAAGGCAAAGCTCCTTTGATACCAGATTTGTTCAACATCTAACATATTTTGAAGCTTTTGAACTGGTCTTGGCAAATAACACAAAGTTAGAGAAATTCCATGAAAGGAGATTAAGGATATTTCATTAGTTTCCAAGTTGAAAACATTGACTGCATGTATCGGAGTCTCTGACATCAAGTCAACGGAGCAGTGGTAACACACCATCTCCTGCAATGTTAAATCAAAATTGCTGAAATGACATGATTAACGTATGTTTCAATAATAAAAAACTACCTCTGACCATAAACACTTACTTGTACTTTAACTGCATTTATAGTTTCACACAATCATTCAAGTAAGTAATCTACTTTATTACCATGTTTTAATTTTACAAGCCATTCATCATGACCACTGTGTGTGCAGGCAGTTAATATGTTAAAATTACCAGAATAAGAGTAATCCTGGTCGGTCTCAAGTTTTTTTCTACTTTTGGTTGAGTCCTGACCAGTTAAGGAGTGGGAGCTTTTTGCATTTATTTGACAGATTTTTGCTGTGTATTTTGCTGGTGTATGACTGTTTTGTACTCAATTGTTTGTTTGTTTGTTTATTTCATTGAATGAAACTGTTTTATTTGACAAGAAGTTGTAATAACAGTGTGAAGTAATTTGGAGTTTGCAAAGCTACTTTACCAAGTACCCTTTCTTAGAAAGACGATTCACTGGATTGCAAGGGCAAAGGATTATACATCTTTTGGCAAATGCTCAAGTTTTTTTAAATCAGCCTGCACTCTTCTCAAGAAAACATACCTAATACAAGCTATATCTATTTATCGGTTAGTTTAGCCCCACCAGCCAGCCATGTCTCCTTTTGCTCAACTCCATTTAATGACATGATTCAGTTTGAAAACAAGTGTACCGGTTAATGTGGCTGTCTTTTCTGGGAATCACTGATTCATGTTGATGATAACAGGCCGAGATTCCCTCTTGTCGCTATGTAGACACCCATCATCTTAGTTTGTTGTACAACAGATATCTCAGGAGCTCCATTAAGAAACACTTTACTTAATCCATGGCAATAAAAAAAACCTGTTTGGACATTAAAAAGCCATTCTCTCTATGTGACATTTACCAGAAAGTAATCAATCAGTTATCATCACAGTGGCCTAGATTCCCACACACATCCTAAATGGACTGATTGACATCCGTTGTTAAAAGCATATGATGGTTACTAAAGATAATACACACTGTTTACACACCTGAGGCAGACCAGAGGCTGATGTGAGGCTGTGTGTGTCACTGAAGACTCTATAAAAGGGAATGGTCAGGACAGATGTTTCCTAAGAATGAACAACATGAGGTCCCTCCCTCTGCTGGTGATGCTGCTGTGCATGTTGTGTGTAGCACAGGTTCAGATGCAAGATAACACAAAGACACTGAGGCTGTGTGGACGTGCATTTCTGCGGGCGGTGGTGTACACCTGTGGAGGATCAAGGTGGAGAAGGCTGATGGGAGAAAATGACATTTTATACACCAGTGAGTATAAGTAAATTATTTATCTCTGAATTTCATTTCTCAGAAATAAACCTGTAACAATTAGAAAAAATGTATGGTTAAAAAAAAGGCTGGTATCTCTTGGCAGGTAGCAGAGATCCAAATATGAAGACAATGATTGGGCCAGAGGTGGGTCGCCATCGTCGAGACGAAAACCAGGCACTCAAATCTGTGTGCTGTGAACTAGGCTGTCGAAAGAGTGACCTCTACATACTCTGCTAGAAGGGAACATCCCAGAGGGGTCGTCGTTACTTGTTGTCCGTTAGTTTAAAACTACTTTTTACAGATAATTATCTTTAAAATGTGTTTAATATTTCATGTTAGCAAAAACAAAATGATGAATGAATTTTGCTCACAGATTCCTGTTTTACCAATTTATTCACATGGCAAAATATGCAACAGAGATAAAGATTTCTTCAAGCACGGATCTACTTTTTGTTTTTTTTTTATTTAAATGTCTTGTGTTCTTTTTATCAGTCTGGGTCTACACAGTTCACTCAAAATATACAGCATAGACAGTTGCCGCACCAAACAGGGAGCTGTTCTTGAAGGAGTAAGAGGCAAAAGTGTCATTAGATGCATCCCACAGACAGCGGCTGCTGATCTGCATGCTGTGTCCGGCGAGCTGGCCAATGTGAACCAGGACCACAGTCTTATATCTGGGTATCATCAAGTCCTTGACCCGGGCTCTTATCACCTGAGAGGAGGCAATCCAAAGAATGAAACGGATAGATCAGAAACTATTAGGTATTCAAAATGACTGACCTACCTGATGTTGTTTTTCAGTTAAATTTACCTCACATATTGTTTTTGTCATTTTTTGAGACCACTCTACTTCATATTTTTCCTCTTGAAGGTAACTAGTGAGCACATCCTTCAGTATGTCTGTGACAGCAGGTATGGGGAAGCGTTTGTAAGGTCCTGTGGAACAAAAACAAAGAGTTTTAACTCCTATGAAACTGGTATGTAAGGGGAAAAACTTTGATATTTTCTCTTGAAAGTAGTTATTTTTATTATTTAAATCAGTGCATTGGTGAACGGTAGTAGTGGGCTAAATGCATTGACTTATATCAAAATGAGGAAAGCACTACCATTTCCCAATTGTTTGCCTGTTCAGCAAACATGAACAGGTGACTGTTATCTCACCGATCTGGTAGGTGTTCTCTATTAGATGTTCCATCCGAGCGTTGTCATCATGGTGTCCTAGTTCAGTTAAGCACGACACAGTGCTGATAGAGCTGTAGACGAAGACACAAGTTAAGAGGAGCTGAAGAGAAACGTAATGTGTTGACAGCATATAAATCATGCCTTTTGTAGATTTGATAATGATTACTTAAGAGTACAGTAAATTAAAGGTAAATATATGCTCATGATCTTCATACTCACTCCTTAGTCCTTGTATCTTTGCCTCTGACTCCATGGCTTCCCTCTGAGGTCACCTTGCCTGCCTTCTTGTCTCTTTTTTGGGATTTGTCTTTAAACACATCAGACATCACAACTTTCCCTGTCCGTGGCTTGTCTACAGAGGAGGAGATCCTAAATATATTGGTGAAGACAATTCAGTATACCTGGAAAGTATTCAGCAACGTTAAAACTATTCAAGTTTTCTAACACGAACCAGATTTCATTGTAAGTAAATAAACAAGCTGAGGGAACTATAACCGGGTGTTAGGCTACTAGTTTACTCGTTTGTAAACCCATTATTAGTACTATTGACTTGTGATTACAATGTATATTTACACCTCGTTTCTATGTCGTGTCAAAAGGATTAAACAGAAACTTTTTCGGGGGAAATGTATCAACTTTTTTACCGATTTCAGCGCCTCTTGAACGAGCAGAGCGAAGTCGTTATCCCCGTAAAGCTTGGTGTTGTCATGGTTACCATAAAGAAGATCCTGCGCACAAGCGGCTCGAACTTCCTGTTAGGCATCAATAAACACATAAACAAATACAGCTTATTGTTTAATGCTAAAAAAAAAAGCACTTCCTTAAATGTTGTACATGCCATTCCCTTTCAGGGTCTGTTAGGACATTATCTGCTGATGAAAACTGAGAAGCTTTTTGTCCATTCGTTTAAAATATATATATTTTTTACAGATAATTAGCCTATCTTTAAAATGTGTTTAATTTTTCACGTTCATGTGGACCACGTGTCTGATCACTGAGAGTAGCTAAGAAAACAATCTCACCAGAAATAAGGTTGTTACACCTCGAGGTTCATCTCTAAATGACATAAAATCAATTCTTTGAACTATGATAGGATACACAGTTTGCTTGGGCTATATCACATGATTTTGATATGATTAAGTTGAGAGGCTAAGGATCAACATGAGACCATTTTAAACACAATTAGTCACATAAAAAAATCTAGAAAAAAAAAAAAAAAAAAACTGATCTCAATCTCAACTGATATCAATTTAATGATTGTTTTACTAAAACTCAGCTCAACACACAAATGAAAAAAAAAATCACTTTGTATTGGCCAATTAAAACCCTTATCTTAGTGAATCGTTGATCCTTAACGCGATTGAATATTCAATATTAATGGATCCTTTCACACTCAACTACAAAGTCTATTTAATAGATGTTCTGCTTCTTTTTAATCATACATGAACTTCTTTAGCATGGATTTTCTGATGTTGAAGAGCTAAAGATTTAAGCACCACATTTCCTGTTTTTCTGACCCCCGTCTAAAACACCTCATCATGTTTGGTTGTGTTTTTCAAGTGTTAATTCCTTATCAGAAAATAACAGATTTAAGATTAGCCT